TGTGTGTGTGTGTGTGTGTGTGTGTGTGTGTGTGTGTGTGTGTGTGTAACACAGCCTGGTGAGAGCCCACTGTACCTTATGGGGACACAAGCTCGGGTCCGTTTGAGGTAAATACTACAGCTGGTTCAGAGGTTCGGTTTAGGACTAAGGTGTGAACCGAGTTCAGGGTCAGCTGACCTGTGAGGTTAGGCTATAAAAAATCACTGATACAGATAGAAAATAAATTAGGAAATAAATACTGCACAATAAGTATTAATTTATTATGTGTATTTGAATTTACTATTACAGCCCAACCAAAACCCTAACCCCAACCCTGCACCTAATAAAGTTACAAAGACAGGATTTAAATAGAGAAATAAAATCTGCACAATATTTAAATAACAAATTATTATAAATTTTCATTTACTTCAACCCAACCCTTACCATGATAAACTTAAAGACTGGATTTAAATAAATAGAGAAATAAAACCTGCACATAATAGAACAGAAGAAAGAACAAACAAATATTTTTCATTACTAGAAAATGACATTAATAGGGAGTATTTCTGAAAAAAAAGGTTATTTTTTATTTTTATTTTCCCCAGGTCCTCCTGTACACTGTCAGGTCGTGGCAAGTGTAGCAAAAATCTCAACACCGTTTCTGAACCTTTCAACCACATCAAGTTGAAGCTGTCACTTTTATTTTCAGTCACCTTGTGAGGACCTACGTTACCCCTGGCTTGAATTATTGATAATGCTGAGCTAGGTGTTAAAAACATTAGCAGAACTTCCTCCTACTAAACAYGTCTGAATCGGTGCTTGTGCTGCACTTTCTAAAACTGTTTACCCTTCTGAAGCACTGCTGCTTCCAAAAAAAAAAAAGATGCAGATTTCACTTCTTATTTCGGTTTATCCCTGACTGTATATATGGTGTTCAAAGAAAACGACTAAGCAGAAAAACTGTTCAGTTTTCCAGAGAATGGAGGAAAAAAATCAGGAAATAAAACTGACATGATGCAAAGACCTTGTGATTTCCTGCAGGCCTTCTTGTTGAAGCACATCTTTTTTTTTTTTTGCTTTAAAAAACGCCACCTGGTGGACAAATACTGCGCTGCAGCTGGATGTAAGAAAACACTGATCCTCTCTTTGTAGTACATTATAGTTTTTGAGAATCATCATTAGGTTTGACTGCAGGGGTACTAGTGGTATGACAAAACGGCTCAGGGGSTACACAAATCTAAAAAGGTTGGGAACCACTGCTTAAAAGACAGTAAAAGCAGTAGTACCTGGCTGTTCTTAAAGGTTTGACCAAAACGTCAATAAACGCATCATTTCTAAACATAAAATGATCTTAGTTCAAATTTTTGGCATTAGAGGTTGGGTGATACGCATTCAAAGGAATCAGATTGTTTTTAATCTTCTTATTGAGAAAAATAAGTTAAAACATAAATTAACTTAGCCATTGTATACGTTGTGCTGCAGATATAAATGACAAAGACAAGGAGCTGATCTTTGATATATTCTTTAATTTTAACCCATGGGATTTAACTTTTACAGTGCATTTTCTTTACAACAATTATCAAGTGACAGGTTTTAGCCTCCACTACTGATCAGATAACTGTACGTTACATTTTCCTGCTCTTCTTGAAGATTTGGACTTCATCAATACTGTGCAAAACATCCCAAATATTACACAATGGATAACCACAAAGGGTCGCTAATTTATTAATAGCTCGTCGTTATTTTTTTCTCTCTAACTCAAGAATTTATTCATTTTAAGTTGTCTCAGTGTTAAGCAGCTAAATATCTGCACCATTAAATCAAACACAGATGAGGCAGATCCGAAACCTGCACTGTCCGAAGGAAAGGTTTTCTTAAAAAAAAACAAAGACTAAACTGAATATGGCACGATTGGAACTAGTAGACACAAAGGGAACTGTAGTTCGACTTCCCTAACAGAGAGAATAAATCCAGATATTCTGTTCAGTCGTCTCGATCTGCTGGAAGTGGMGCTCTGAGCACCGAGTCTCAGCTCAAACCTTCACGAGTCACATCAGCACCTACGAACGTCTCCCAACTCTTCCCGGTCCTCAGAAATGGAGCAACGTGGCCGTGCTGGAGGAAAAGCGCTGAGAAAAAAAAAAACAGAAGCACATCGACTGTGCGTACACACGAACTCTGGAAACACATTGCAGCGATAAACATTTACATGAGCCACTGAATCCACGTGGAACTTGATCCAGTCTTCCCAGCAGCATTTTACATTCTGACTCCAGGAACTAAGATGTGAGAATGAAGTAAACAGCGGGTTTCTCTGTTTTGCTCAAGTTTGGTCTTCGTCAGATTCACAACAGCTAGTAGTGCACAAAATGAGAGTACAAAAATTAGACTTTTAAATACTGTAGCAGCGACTGTTCTCTTTTAAAGTTGAGAACCTCCAGTAGTGAAGGTGGAGGCTTCAGAGTCCCCGACTCATGGGGAAGGGAGCGATTGTCCTCTGAAGAGTGAGCCAGTGGGTGGGTGGATAGGTTGTCTCAGACAGGATGCTGTTAGAGGACTTAGCCTTGTGGGGGGGCCAGTTGCAGCAGGACACTGCAGCACTCCGGGTTGAGAAATGTCTTTGGTTCTACAGGAACCAGAACYTCCTCCACCTGTTAACACATCTCCAGCTCACAGCAGCCCCCTTTCCAGTCTCTGTTTCAAAGAGAAACGCTTCCTGGTCACCGCTCACTGCCTCTCCCCGCCCGCAGCCCAAACCACAGCAGGTTGAGGTTGTAACACGACGCTCGGCTCATCGGTCCCGAAAAGAGCAGGACAGAACCGAGCCGGGCCGGGCCGGTCTTCGCGGCGTGCCTCTCAGCTGGAGGCGGTGGCGATGGCCTTCTTGAGCTGCTGGCTGCGGATCTCGCGGGTGCGGGCCTCCAGGAGCAGGTCGTGACAGGTGTTGCACACCAGCACCGGGTCGTACAGCTGCTGGTCCGGGATGGGCAGCTTCAGATGACAACAGTCTTTACAGAACACGTTCCCGCAGTTCCTGAAAACAAAGAAACCAAGARCTAAGGCTGCTCTACAGACTCAACCCATAATAAACCAGTCAATCCTCACATCCTTAAAGCAAATGTTCCAAATTACTGTGGAGGAAGGAAASATGTACTTCAAATATGCTCTCAACTTTTCTAAAACCTGTCCGTGTGTTTAGGTTTTCTGCTGGTAATTTAWTATTGTTTTGGATGTTTGTAAATTGCTTTCTAAGAACTATTTCAACTAAAGCTGAAACGATTCCTTGGATAACTCGAGYMGCTCCATTACTAAAAATCCTCGAGSMAAATCATCTCTCAAAGCGTCGTTATATATTCTGTAAAAATTGTGGATTATTGGTGTTGCATAACGCTTTTACTAAATGTTGATGCATGTATGCTAAGTGCTATTTTTAGCTAATTAGAGAGACGAGGGCCGTGTCCAAATTCAGAGGCTGTATTATTCGAAGGACCCGGCCTACACTGACCGGGTCCATCAGAAGACGCCAAAAAGCAGCACTCAGAAAACAGACAAACTGTTGAACGTTCATTTGAAACTACACAATAAAGGCAACACAGCACACTGCCAACATAATTCCACAATGGCACATTGAGGATGTTGCAGAACCGGAACAGAAAACATGCGCTGCAAACATCAAACAGGTGTTGTTTATGTTCACTTTGCAAAATATGTTTATCTGAACCTGTGATAATACAGATGTACACAGGATATTCCTGGACACAGAAACATTCTCAGTGAGGTAAGAAAACGATGATGAAGTCCCACCTGCAGTGATGACGTCTCTTGGCTATCCAGAACTCACAGTCACAGTGGAAACAATGGGAGGCCATGTGATCGGGCACCCACCTCGTGACCTACACACACACACACACACACACACACACACACACACACACACACACACACACAGAGCGCTGAGTGAGATTAGGTGCTGCTGCTCAGGCAGGTGGAGGGACAGAAGCGGAAACAGAAGCTCTATTAGCAGACGAAGGCAGCTGACCTCTGTGTCCCTGCGCTCCACTCGGTCCCAGCTCCCCTCGGACAGACGGTCCTCGCTGTGGGTGGACAGAGAATCCTCCTCGTTGCTGTTGTCCGACTCCCGCAGACATGTCTGAAGAGCGGCGGTGATAAAACCAGTCAGTAACAGAAACAGATATCTATCATATCTGGTCATMAGGGAAGAAGTACTCACAATGTCATCCTCGTAGTCGATGTCTGGCTCAGAGGGAGGGCTGTCGTATTGTTTGCTCTCTAGTCTCATCTGCAGCTGTCGCACCTGCTGCCGCAGCACCTCCACCTCCTGCTTGTAACCAGCCTCGATTTGTCGAAGTCTCTGCTGCACGGCGTCCATCTGCACCGGCAGCCCGTCGTCATCGAGGTAGGCTGGAGTCTGGGGCGGGGGCGGGGAGCTGGAAGCGGGCGGTGAGGTGTAGGATGCTGGCAGAAACTGGTTGTTGAGGGCGGCGGCGGGGCCACGCAGGCCGTTGTGGCCCTTGGCAGCCTGCAGCCACCCGGCCTGCAGGGGGCTGCTGGGACAACACAGGGCCTCCCTGCGGCAGCACTGCGGCCCCGCGGCGACGCCCATCTGGGTTCGCAAGAGTTTACTGGCAAGCCGGCGGCCCTGGTAGGTGTTGGGCTGCAGGGCCCGGATGACACCAGCGTGGCTGCAGGCAGACTGGACCAGACCCTGGACAGAGTTCCAGTGAGAGCTGAGCAGGGACAGGTCCGACACCTGACTCTGGGAGGTCGGGTGGCGAGCGGGAACCTGGGTGGGGTCTGCTGAWGTGGCTCTGCCCTTCACTCCATCTGTCCTCAGGGCCTCCTTCTCTCTCTGGGGGGGGACTTGTGGCTGCTGCTCCTCACTGAAGAGGCTCTGGTGGACCTGCTGGGTTACAGCAGGCGGGGAGGTGGGGGGGATCTCTCCCTCGTCTGTGAGGGTCTCAGTGGAGTCCTCCATGGGAGCCACTTCCTGCTTCAGGGCCGACAGGTCGGCAGGTTCTGGGAGGCCGTCAGTGAGTCCGTTCAGCAGCGAGGTGGGGGGGTTGGCTGCGGGTTGAGTGTTCTTACAGGGGAGGGGTAAGCATGGCTCTGATTCACRGGCCGGTGAGGTGGGGGTCTCAGCAGTCCTACAGGGGTTCTCAGCCTCCTCCAGTGGCAGTGGTGGGAGCGGAGGGTCTGTGATCTGTGGCAAAGCTTGGTAAAGGATGGGAGTGGGCGAGGCAGTGTGYGAGTGTGTGAGGCTGACGGGAACAGGGGGGAGAGGTGGAGACGGCAGGGGCTGTGTGGTGAGACAAGGCTCCTCCAGTCCGTCTTCAGAGCTCTCCAGTCCTGGGACACATTCCAGGTTCTTCTCAGGACTTGGACTGAACGTCTGGTCCTCCATCTTCGTGTCAGACGTGTCGTCCTCAGAGCTGCCTGCAGACGACGAGTCGTCCACAGCAGCCGAGGCCTCCGGCGCCGAGCGACCCTCCTGGCAGTGCTTATTGAGGTTAGGATCACTGGACCKACGTGTCAGGGGCAACCCGTTCTCCAAGGCTGACAGCAGGTTGTCCATGGAGCGAGTCTTGGGAAGTCTGGAAATCAGACGTTGCACATCTTACACCAGAATAATACCTCAAGAAAAAGTATTCAGAACCTCTGGACTTTTCCACATTTTGTCACRTTACAGCAGTTACTTTTATTTAGATTATATGTGAATAAAAATATGTTAACTGTAAAGTGAAATAAAATGTATGGTTTTCAAAGCAGTATTTAAAAAAATATGAAAAGCATTTTTGTATTCAGCTCCCTTAAGTCAACACTTTTCATTTCTGTTGAGTTATATCACATTTGCAGATCTAAAAGCTGAAATTTGTATATAATTTTCTTTCCACTTTAAAATGCGTGCTACTTTATACTTCGTGTTAGTTTCTCACAAAAATGACAATAAAATACTTTGATGTGGTTGTTAGAAATAACATTCACTCAGTTCTTCATGTGAGRCTCTAGGGGGCAGTGTAGTGCTTTAAAAGTCATCTTCCATTTTGAATTTGGAAGAAGCTGAGCAGTACGAACCAGATGTGCTTGTAGCAAACACACCTGTCCAGAGAGCGGGACGTGAGCTCGTCTCCTGTGACGCAGGGCGGCAGGTAGAGCTCCACAGACTCGTCCACCGCAGTGCAGGGGGAGGAGGTGGGCAGGTAAACAGCTGTCCACAGCTGGAGTGCCCGGGTATGACAGACTGGCTGTAGCACCTGGCGGACATCAAGTGACAAGGACAAGAAGGTCAGTTTAAAATAATGATGGTGTCTGTTCTGTTACAGCTGTGTTAATTTTAGATATTTGTTATGAGACGACAAATTGGATCAGATTTAATCACCTGCTTTAATTTTCATCAAAGAGCTAGAGACTAAATCTATAATTATTTGTTTCTGAGATGATTTTTTTTTGGTGGGGGGTTATTATGTAATAACCGTTTGAGCTTTATATCACGTTATAATCTCATTCCCTGATCAAAAACATTCTTGAGTTTTTCTTTGACTCATTCGTGCATGTATGAGAAATCCTTGGAGCTGCCTAAACACTAGCTGGCACAAAGCTCCGCCCATTTAACCAAAGCTCAGTCTGCTGCCGAGCTCCCGCCCCCACAGAGCACYCCTCCCTCACACAGCTCCATCAGACTAGCATCTTAAAAATGTGGATGTTCATGATTTCGTGGGATCTTTTGAGTAATGTTCAACTTTACTCTGAGTTGCCATTTTCCAAAACCAATATATAATCTTGCTTTTTTTTTAACAACAAAATACAACGCTCCTATGAAAGTTTGTAAAGGCACAAAGCACTGTTGTGAAGGCGTGCTGAAGTGGGAGTGTCAGAAACTGTAGGAGGTTCTTGAAATGACAGAGGTCAATTTCAAGGTGTGTAAATAGGCTACGATGCAAAGTCATTTAATTTTGATATATACAGCTTTTTCATAACACAACAGTTACTTGAATGTGGTATAGAATTGAACTTTGTGCCTGGAAAATTTTAAAAAAATCTGTATTTGAACATTAAAACTACATCATTATGTCATCTTACAGTAGGAGCTAAACTACCAAAAATGCATATAATTGTAAAATCTGGTGTTACCACATCATGGCCAGGGACATAGAGGAAGTTCTGGAAGTTCTTGTTTCCTGTGCGAAGCAGGGACCAGACAGAGCAGGTGCGTTTGTAGATGTTTTTGGCCTCCCTCTCACGAGCATTGTTGCACAGAAACGTGCCATAAAGACACGAGTACGTGTGCTGCACCAACTTGACCTGGATGGGAGGAGACGATTCATCACGTCAGCACTTTCAGCACGTTATTTCTCTCAGTCAGCTCAGTGTGTCCGATGATTTATGGAAAATATCTGACCACAAAAATATGCTGTCAGTAAAATATATGATTTCATTCAATGCCTCTAAATCCTGTCAAACTTGTGAAGTTTCCAGGTGAAAATGGCCACAGAGAGCATGTTTATCAGACAGACACAAGTGGAGAAGGCAGCCACCCACCAGGAAGGCCTCGTTGAACTCGAACAGGCAGGGGAACTGTTTGAGCAGCTGGTGAACACAGTCCAGCCACTGCAGGAAGACAGGACACTGCTCGCTCACGTCGTCTGTGTTCTCCTGGTGGCCACATCTGTCTCCGAACTTATGACCAAAGTCCAACCATTCAGTCTCCACAAGCACCTGGAACCCCTGTGAGCAACATGAATTTAACACCGGGGATTAGAGAAGCAAGCCAACGGGCCACGATGGGATGAAACATTTAGGAGAGAAAATATGTGTCTCCTGAAACTCGTACAGAYGCACCTCTAAGGTCCGATAGTACGGGTCCAACAGAATCTTGGCAAGTGCTACTATCTGGGGCGTGCGGTCCCATCCATCTGAGCAATGTACCAGGACAGGCCGGCCTTCCCACTCCACCGCCGAGCACACCAGAGTGGCGGCCTTCAGCATGACGGACAGGTGCTGCAGCCAACGGGTGCTCTCCAGAGCCGACAGCCAGCTGGTAACAACAAATCCATGATTACATACCCACCAACAAGTGTAAGATGCAAGGAGGCAACTTCAACATATCTAGGGTATAATGTGGGTAAACTGGTTAAACTAAGCTTAATATCACATTAAGCAGCATCACTGCACTGGGAATCATGAGTAAATCAAAGCAGACCCTCCATAATGTTACTGAGGTGTTTTCTGACCAACTCAGTCCATTCAGAAGACACATGTGTCTCAATCTCAGAGGGAGCTAGTGACAAAAATGGGACTCGTCCACTCCTGAGAAGGTGGGCCGGTGCAGTGTTGACCGACAGCTTCGGGAACCACCCAACCACAGGTTTCTTAAGTTCAACAAATACCTGGACTCTTTTTAGACTTAAACTTTGTTTTCTTTTCTTTTCTCGACACCCATGAGCTCCTCACTGTAGACGAGGAAATAACTAAACTTTATTTTAGTAATTCAGTTCGATACTTGATAACTTTTGGCTACAAAAGGATTTGTGATGACATTTTTAGTTATTTTCTGTTACTAAGAAAACCTTTACAGTTTGATACATGGTCCAAAACACTCGTTAAAATAAAAGAAACATATTTGGTTGTAAAAATGCTACAATTTATTTTGCAAAAAATAT